GTTCAAAATCATTAAACTGCACAGCTATAGGAAACCCTACCCCAGTTTACAGCTGGACGTTTACAGGCACAACTCAGGAGGGAATCCAGGAGAAATATGAGACAGGCCCAGTTTTAACTCTGGAATCTCAACTCCCAGGAGTCTACAGCTGCACAGCCACGAACGCTGTGGGTAAAACAACCAAATATTTCCACCTCATTACTGTTCAAGGTAATAATATATCCTAACAGAAACTATTGTTATATTTTGAAGTGTCTGGTTTATGAAATACAGATAAACTCATGTGATGTGATGAGCTGAAAGGCAAAAATAAAATCTCTTATCTTCAGCAGGAAATTGGAGCTGCTTCCCAATTAGAAGGATAACACTGGTGTGCCTGTTTACCCTGATCTTTGTAGGTATTCTTGTTTTTGTGGTACGTAAAAAAGGATTTTCTTTCACAAAAGTAAAGCCAACCTTATCAGAACCTATTAGTATGACTGATTTATGACTTATTTTTCTTTTGCATTCACTGCTTGTCTGGCTCTGGAGTGATCTGTAAGATCCACTATTGATTGATTGATTGACTTTATAGATCTCACAGTGGAGAAATTTGTTACATCAGCTCAATAGTCAAAAAAAGAAGAAGATGACAAAAGGAGGAGAAGGTGCATGGGTGGGGGTTGATACAGTGGGGGGGCGGGGTGGGGGGCGGGGGTGGGGCATTGAAAACTGTGGTATATCTGATAAACTTACCTCCTTTGGTATTTCCAATCAAATGTATGAACGGCATGAACCACCTACTTTAAGATGTTAAAGAGGTTGCACTTTGCAATCTCTGAGCATTTAACTTCTGAGTTTAAGTTATAATTTTTTTGTGTTCAGTCAAAATACTGAAAAGAAAAGAAAAAATATTTTTAATGCAAAGAAAATCACAAAGAGTGCTGTTTGCTGACATTGCACCTTTTTGTAATTCAGCTAAGGCCTTTTCTCTTTTCTTCTAAGTATTTGCAAATAACCATGGAACTCTGTGTAAACGGAAAGGTGGGGCAGCACTGTAATCAGCATGATCAGCATAAAAATTAGATTTTTTTTCGGTGCTCATTTAGGAAGTCCCCACAAGTTTTGTCTCCTTGCATTTTAGATGTTCTATATACCAGCTTCAGATTCTGTCCCACCCTAAACCTATCCTCTGTTTTATCAGCGTTGCCTTTCAAATCTATGAGGACCATTATGATGTATCATATACCTATGCCATTCAGTCAACCACTTAATATCTTTTCCAGGGTCAAGTTAGTTGTTTATATGGTGTTTTTTTTTTTTTTTTTTTCGTTTTTTTTAAATGGCTTCAATTACGTTTTTTTTCAAAGGGTATGCCTTTTGCTGGACTTTTGGACTATGCACCGATCCTATTGTAAATACAGAAAAGATTAATGGCTGATGAAAAACTTTGTATGTTCTCATGTTCTTTATTTTTAATCAGCTTGAACTTTTTTTGCACAAGAATTGCTTGTTAATTTTTAAATTTTATGTTGGTTTTGCTGTTGTTATAGCAAGTCTAATTATAGCTGCAACACGTTATGTTACTCAGAGCACAACCACATACAATAGTAATATGTTTCAATATATATAGCATATGAGCTATTGAATGGACTGTAAAATGACTTTGCAATTTGCCAATATAGACACAGCATGTAATTTCTGTTGCATGAGGTTAATATTATTAATGTTGTTTTTTTTAAAGAAAAAAGTATTGACATGTCAACAAAACACAGTTATGTGTTATGTTATGTGAATGCTTAAAATAACTGAAAACTGAGCTGTAATCCAAAAGGTTAACACATTACAAAACGACTTTCTGTGTCAGTGATCTCCTCAAGCAGAATACTGATCGAGGCAAAGTCAAAACAGCATCTGTGTTTCCTCGTCCCCCCCTTTGTTAGTCCCTTTGACCCCTCTCTCCTCCTCTTTCAGAGAGCCTTACATCGACATCCACAGCATTCACACTAACATACTAATAAGACCCTAACAAAGTAAATGTAAAGAATGTGTAATCTTGTCTGCATTGCTAGAATAAATATTGTTTTTCCCTAAAACTGTGTCTTTTTAGTTATTTTACTGTCATTTCAGACTGGAATTCTGCTGAAAAAGGGTCAGCTGTTTTGTTTATGCTGCTCTTGTGCTGCCATAACAACCTACCAGACGCGATACAGCTCAGTGATTCAAAGAGTAAAAAGATAAAGGTTTTACTGTGGAAGTGCTTATTGTGAAAACATGTCAAAGCATATGTAAAGCTGCACGTAGTGTGAGCTTGTAAACTGTTGCATGTTAGGTTCCCCAGCTGCCCTCTAAATAAATACAAAAAACGAATCTGTTTTATTTTACTCTGCTGCTCCTCTGTTACAGTCAGAGCTGCTATTCTGTGTAGCATTCTGGTCACAGTGTGAGTCTTAAAAGCTTGAATGCTGCAGGAGAGCAGCTCTCCTGCCTGCTGGGGTTTAACAAAGCATGAAGGCCTGAGGCAGCCTCAGACAAGTGTACAAGAGGAACAGAGAACAAGCTATTCTGAACAAGCCTTCATTCTACACTTAAATAGGTGCTGTTTCAACACTTTGTATAACGAGAAGTCCTAAAGAAGTGGGCTTCAAAATTTAAATGAGGGGAAGGAAGTTCACTGACATTTATGTTTATTTTTAAATTCCTACATAACTTATGATGTGTAGGCACAGCTGTAGACACATGGGTTGGGTATCTTTTTGCACATCTAAAGATGTATTTGTGAGATTTAAATTCCTGTTGAAAAAAATAATGGGTCACTTTAACTTTCCCACTCTTCCTCTTCACTTTTCCCCCTTTTTACCCCCTCCTCTCTGTAAAGTCAGCTGGGAGGGATCTCTGCTTTGTTCCAACATAGTTCCCTGCAGAGTTGCCAGGGTTGTTCAAGTTGGAATTTTCTGCCCATCGACTGCTAGTGAAGAATAAAACAATTATCATGGGAAACAACTTTCTTGTTTGGATTCTGATATTTTGCTTGCTTCATTCAGGTAAGAAGTGGGGAATAGCTTATTTATTGTCATTGTTATGGGACGTAGATGATGTGCAGAAGAGATGTAAAAGTGATGTGATGATAAATGAACGGCTTGGATTAACAGACTGATACCTTTTCCTGATGGTGGGATTATTCCAAACTAGTAAATGTAAATTAAACATTTTGAATTATTTAAACAAACAGTTCTTTGCATTAGATTTGGGTTTAAATCCATTCTTCTGGACTCTCCTGTCCATGCTAGGTTTTATTCAGAGTGCTGTAAACAGTGTTTCCATGCGAAAGTTTTTTTTTCTGTTTTTACTTTTTAAACATAGATGTTTGATATTGAGCAGCTGCATGGTGGTGCAGTGGGTAGCACCACTGCCTTTCTGCAAGAAGGTTCCAGGTTTGAGTCCCAGCCTGAGGTCTTTCTACATGGGATTTGCATGTTCTCCCTGTGCATGTGTGTGTTCTCTCCGGGTACTCCGGCTTCCTCCCACAGTCCAAAAATATGACAGTTAGGTTAATGGCTTCTCTAAATTCTCCTTAGGTGTGAATGTGTGTGTGTGAATGTTTGTTTGTCCTGTTGGTCTCTGTGTTGCCTGGCGATAGACTGGCAACCTGTCCAAGGTGTAACCCGCCTCTCGTCTGTGGACAGCTGGAAATAGGCACCAGCACCACTTGCGACCCCAGCAGGGATAAGCGTGATGCAAAAATGGATGGATGGATGGCCTAACTTGTGCTACTGTTAGCGCCACTCCCAAAAAAGTGCTTCCAATTGCTTGCTATGGGTCTCTTAAAAATTTTGGAAATATTTCTATTTTTCTTTACAGAATTGTTTTAATTGAGATTCTTTGAAATGTTTTGAGAAAAAAAAAACCTGCCTAAGGTAATCCCACTGCATCTCAATTGAATGTAAGTCAAGTCTTTGACTAGGCCACACTACAACCCCCTTTGCTTTCAAAAATGCATTTATGATTAAACATGGGGTACAATGTAAAGTCAATGAAATAGCTATATAGTTAATAAAACCTCCTTTTTAGAAGGACTTTGGAGGCAGAGCTGCTGAGGTGCTTCTGATCATTAATGCAGCATTAGCACAGTTTTATGTTTGAATAGAGCAGCTCATCCAGGTCCCTCTAACTAACCCCACCAAATGAGGCAATCAATGCCTTCTGAGCTTCAGATGCTGTTCTGGTTTATTTTGTTACCTCCAAGTTATGGATGAGCTGTTGGAGTCATTTTTGTAGCCTATAATTTCTTGGGGAGATTTACCTATGTTCACTTTTTTGATCATTTATTTGACATTCATCAGGGTCCAAATTCTTAGAAATTGTCCTGTGATGCTTTCCAGACTGCTAGACATCCCTGAGTTTGTTTCTCATCAGTGTCTCCACTTTTTTTTGCTTTGTTTCTGTTTGAAGTATTTTACTCTACCTTATGTTGTAAAACAGGTTCTGTTAAAGTGATATCTTTATCCTGGCAGTTATCAGAATCAAATGTGGCTGGTTTTCAAAGACAATGTGCTTAGTAACAGTTATTTAATGATTAATAGGTAGATAGATTGTCTTGGATATATTTTATTCCCTTATTAATTAAGTCATAAAAAAACTGCTAGTGAGATTAATTTTGGCTATTCATGTGTACTAACAAGAGATTGCCTTCAGTATGATATTATAAAATGAACGAAAGTCTATTGTTTCATGACTTTGAACTAGAATTAATGGATCTGATCTTGTATTTCAGGGATGAATTGCTTGTTTTGTAAAGGGCTTTGACTCAATAATAAATTAAATGAAACTAATTCATATACTAAATTATGTTTGATGTCCTGACATGATTAGTTGTGGAAAAAAAGAAGAAAACTGGAAAGGGTCAACCCTTTTTCTCAGTACTTATTTGCTTAAATTGTCACAAAGTTAAATCAATTCTAAATATAGAATACAGACTGATTTTCTCTGCATCTGATGGTGCCTGCTGCTGTCTTCCTCAGTGTCAGGAGAAGGCTGCTCCCTCATCCTCAAGCCATCGCGGGTTGTGTTGGGCTTTGGGGAGTCGGTATCAGTCAGCTGTGAAGCTGCACGGCCGGTTCGTGTCCTGGGCTGGGAATCAGCCATCAGTGCAGTGCACACGCAGGAGGACCGATCTGTCCAGTGGAAGGTAGACAGTCTGATTGACTGGATAGAGGAGCCCATCTGCTATGGAGTTTTTTTCACAGCTCCAAGACAATGTGAGGAGAAACTCAACCTTGTCCTCTACAGTAAGTTAGCTCCAAATCAAAACATGTGTTAGAAACTTAAATATTTTTTTTTCCTAAATCCATATATTATTTTTTTGTAGAAACTCCAGACAGCATCTCGATCAGACAGGCAAACCACAGTGGCCCCATGGTGGAAGGGAAAGAGTACCAGCTGCTATGTGAAGTTCAGAACATTGCTCCTGTTCAGTACCTCACACTGAGGTGGTACCGAGGCCAGACTGAGGTTTATCAGCACTCTTTCTCTGATCTAACATCTTCTTCACCCGTCCAAGTTTCCTCTACCCTTGTCATCACTCCAACAAAAGCTGAGAATGATGCAGAGTATAAGTGTGTAGCAGAGCTGGAGCTTGGACCAGAGGGACCACAGCCCCCTCCCACTCTGGCCTCAGAGCCTCTCACCGTGTCCATATACTGTGAGTCAAGAATACAGCCACAGCTTCTGAGAACACTGGGAAGCTTTACCAGCATAGAGCAACACAAGCTAGAGCAGAGTAATGTGGAAAGAAAATGATATTGTTTTGTCATAGAAGATGAATTTTAAAATCTTGTCACAGCTTCTCAAATAGATTTAGGTCTGACCTTTATCTAGGCTGTTCTAGCTCTAAATATGCCTTTAAATCACGGTCTACAGCCTTAACAATCTAAAGAGCCATTTTAAAATGGTCCAGCTAAATTAAACTCATTTAGAGATGCAAATTTTACATGAAATTTTGGGGGAAAAAAAATAGCACTTTAGCAAATATGTTAATATTTGTAGGCTTTCTAATAGAATTTTTTTTTTTTTTCAAAGGCTGTCATATATATATTTTGTTAAAAATAGTGAAAAACATAGATATATCTTTAAAATATGTACTACAATTATTGGTACTTTGGTTTATTCCATTATTCCATAAAAATAAAAACCTCAATTATAAGCTGCTTAAACCAGCAGGTCGTTGTCATTTTACCCCAGGCTATCCAACGACCAGTCTCCACCAACCATAGTGTTAGTCTGGAGGCTACAGGGGTCCTTAATGTCTTATGATCAAATATGCAAACAGGTTTTCTTATGGACATATTCTGACTACTTTTTAAAGCAAAACTCGGCTGAAGGCTGCCCTATGGACTTTCTTAGCTAAATGGTTGACTTCAGGTGGCTATATCCTGGATTAGATTGTATTAAAAGGTGTCAAAAATAAAGGGCAAGTGAATAGAAATAGATAACACACTTTTCTGTTTTTATTTTTTATTTTTGTAGAACTGCAACAAAACATGTATGATTTTCTTTCTGCATTACACATATTTTGTGTTGGTCCACCATATTATTCAAATGTAAATATTTCTTAACTGATATGTGATAAAATGTGAAAAAGTTCTAACATCTTGAATACTTTATTATGGTATTATATGTATGGATAAGTAATCACTGTTTTTTTTTTTTACATTTTACTTTTAAGTTCCACCAACACTTCTGAGCCCAGAAACAGAGGTTTTAGACTTTACAGCTGGAGAAGAAATCACCCTAAATTGCACAGCCACAGGAAACCCTGCGCCTGTATATAGCTGGCAATCATCCCATCCTATAGAGGAGAGATTGAAGGAGAACGCAGTTATCACTTCCACCTCTCTACTCCCAGGCACCTACACATGCACTGCCTCTAACACTCTGGAAAAGAAGAGCAAGCAGTTCATTATCAAAGAAAAGATCAAAGGTAGAGGGAAGACATATGTGTTGCTCTAGCTATTAAAATGCCCCAAACTCTGCATCCTAATCCTCAAATTTCCTTTTGCTTTACTCAGGTGTTTGAAGCTTGCTTATCTTGGGATGGATGAGTTGGCCTGCTGTCTGACTTAAGGGGAAAATTGCACCGCATTGCTTTTACTGTTGATGCTTTGAGAATGATGACAAATTGATGATTCAGTGGGTGTTGATGAGTATCATGTTACCATTAGATATCATAGAAGAAAAACTGCTATGTTTGGTAACTTGTCATTTAATATATATTTGTGTAGATTTAGGATAGATTTCATATTTTAGGATTCACATGTTATATTTGTTGTGTAATTTATATTTCGGATAGTCTTATTTACCTACTAATGTAATCAAGTCCTGTAACATTTCAAAAACACAGCTACTACTGGCACAGCAACAGATAGCAGCACGGAGATACTGTAAATATGAGTTGTTTCTTGATTGTATTATCTTTATCAAAAGATGTTCAATAAAAAGAAGGTTTTTACTGACTGTCTCGTTTTTTTTTTTTATCAATGATGACTTGGCTTTTGTTAGATTACTAATGTCAGTCGGGTTCTGTTAAAAAAAAACAAAAAAAAAAAAACAGAAGTTTAATAAAACGTAGTGCTTTCAAATACAATTCCATTGCCTTTCTGTTTCATTTATGTCAAAACTTAAGCTAAACAATCTATCCAGATGACTCATCAGTAAAGTCTCCAATTTCACACATTTGCTGAGTAAAAGTGAAACTTTAAAACAGAAATTCATATAGGGAGCTAATAATAAGTACTAATATAATTATTTTTTTAAGGTTTTGCCAAATTCTTTTCTTAAATTTGTTTTAAATTCATGAGCGACATTTTCTGTTCACGCTGTAATCCCGCCACCCACCACAAGATGTCGCTCTGTATCTGTTTTAGAACAGAGACTATTGGCTGTCGACGCGTCACGTGATCACAACAGGCGGAAGTACCATATTGCGGTTGACTTTACATGTTATTAAAACAGGTGGGAGTCACGTTGGGTCTATTTAAACACAATCTTGCTTAAATACAACAAAACAACATTTTCGAAAAAACGTATTTCCGTTTTATTTTCAGAAATGCCGCAGAAAGACCCTTGTCAAAAGCAAGCGTGCGCCATCCAGAAGTGTCTACAAGGTACTTCGGGTGTTACGCTGTTTTAGGTTCTTTTAGGAAGATATTTGTCTAACTCCATCCCCACCTTGCAGCTAATAAGTACCTGGAGAGTCTGTGCGAGGATATGATCCGAGACATGCGGAGGTGTTGTGAAGTTCATGCTGGAAACTCGGTCTGCTGCTCCGGTTTTAAGCAGCCCAAACCGGCGGACAACAAGAGCGAAACATGACTATGAGCCATTCTCCTTGATGTGGAGTTAGAAACCTGCACTCCATCAATCTATAGGGTCTGTGTTATTCTAAAGTATGCTGTGATTTAGCAGAAGAACTGCACATGGAGATTCTAAGTATAATAAATATTTGACTTCAAACAGGCCTATTAAGAAGCTGCAGAACCAGAAGGTTGAACTGGCCCTCTGCCATTTTGCTAACACCTTGTTTGTAACGTTTAGGAACAAGCTTGTGCATGTCAGGATTAAACAAGTGAGACAGTGTTAGAATATAAACAGTCCTTGACATCTCAGCTCGACAATCATAGCATTTTTATCTCATATGCATTTATTATTCCTTCATCAAAGTGATATAAATACAGGTGCATCTAAATTTACTAAAGAGCCAGCAGGTCACCATGAAGTCAGTATTCTACATGGCTCTGTGTGATGTAAGAAGTAAATGCCTTGTACTTTTATAAAGATTTACATTCACTCACACATTCACGTGCTGAATGTGGCATGCCACATTATACCCACAGCTACACTGGGGCAGATTGAACAAAGCCAGTCTGCTAAAAAGCCAAGGCCCTGCTAACATGTAACATGGTCAGAACATAGCATTTCTTTGTTTGAACTGTATTTGACCACTTATTACCAGTTTTGTTAAATGGAATTAATTTTAGATTTTCATTTAAATTAATTCAGGTATTTATATATTTTTTTACAGTTCTTGTTTTCAAGAGGTCAGGATCTCAAAACGATATTTGCCATCCTTTGTCCAGCCTAACCCTGGTACTATCACAGGGCATTTATAATATCCTTTATCATTATTGTGATACATTTTTAATTCTGATAAAATAATTTATTTTCTATCATTTTAATTTAAATGTTTATTTTTCTGGTGGAGTGTTTTTTTTTTTTTTTCCTGTGCTATTGCTGATTATTTTTCAATGATTGGTACAGTGTTAGTCTGGGTTAATTTTTAAAGAGATCCCTCTAGTAGGTGATTTAAATTAACACTGGCTCAATCAGTTCAGTTTATTTATATTGTGCCATTTCCCAACACATTTCATCTCAAAGCACTTTACAGAGAAACCTCAACCAGACGATACAGTCAGACTGATTCAAAGTTTTCTAAGGAAAACCAGCTGATTGCTTTGACTCAAACGTCATCCCTCATACCGTCAGCATCAGATGATCTGACGACCATGTTTTGCTTTTAGAGTTTCTCAAGTTATTGGAAGTCATATTTGTACTTGTTTTAAATATCCAAGCCAATCATCTCCAACATGCCACATAAATACTCCACAGCAGTTGTTTTTGAAAAAGATCTAAGTGAACATTGCATAGTTGGTGCAATTAGAGACAATAAAATCACTTGTTTAAACCCGTTGTTATCTGAAAAAGAACGATGAAGCACTCTAGTGAGCAGGCCGTCCATGACTCATTAAGGTATAACTGAATTCACAAATTTCTGTTTGATGACCTTAACCTTGCCTGGGTCACTCTTTTTCTTCTTTTTTTTCCTAAACAGTTATGATTTCATTGACAAATGTGCTTTATTTTCTGTGAGCTGAGAGTGAAGGGTTGGTCCTTGGTTCATAACTAAATTGGGTTTTGCAAAGTGGGGAATCAGCTTTGGGCAACTTCGAGGACATCTGTTTTTGAAGCTGATTGGCTGCATTTCCATCAGTTATGAAATAAATTTACTGTCATTAAAAAAGCAAACAGGATTATAATTTGGCTCAAACTCCAAAATGTTTAAATAACCCAAGGACATTTTGGCTAACTGTTACGACCCTCCCAGGCAACCATCATTAATCTAATTCTCCACATCCATTAGCTATGGACTGCACTGAGGTATCAGATAAATGTCTCTGGAGTCTTATTTGATGCCATGTCTGATAGTCAGCCTCTCACTTCTTCCACTAATTCCCAGCTAAACAGAAAAACATCTCGTTTTGAATATATCTGGTCAGGGAGGTTTCAAAGGAAGTGGAGGTTTTCAATCCTCATAACCTAAGAATGTGTTTTTAAAATGGTAGTTTTTTTGTTTTTGAAAGTGAGAAAACCTGCTGTAAGCTTTAATCGTAAATATAAAAAGGAATAATAACTATGTAAATTTAGAGTTCATAATTTTGAACCAAAATCAGTTGAATGTCTTATGTTTTAATGGCATAATTTATGGACATGTATATAAAAAATGTATATATGTAACAGGAAGAATCACAGTGAATGTAAAGAAAACAGTCTTTGAAAAAAGTCCTGTATGCAAGTTTTGGTTTACTTTTGCAACATGTATCACAGCTTTAACAAATATCAGTTCAACTTACATGATCCTCATCTCTTTTCAATGGAAATAATCATATAGAAAAAGATATAATCTGTCTAATGAAAATAATTGTGTATTTCTGTAATAATAATCGTTCAATCTACCTGTTTAGCTGCCAAATGCAATTTTTGATGTCATTGCAACTAAAGTTATTTATCTGTGAGTGTAGTATTTCTCAGTTTCTATATTAATTTCTTCCCTAAATTAACATATATATAGGGGTAACCGATTAATTCCCTGTTTTGTAAAATAGTTTTTTATAGATTAATCAGAGCTTTTTATTTTCTTAATTATGTAATGTACCTCAAACAGAAATTGTTAGCATTTTCTTCCCTCATTTTTGCATTGTGGAAAAAACATAAGATATTGTCTCTTCCATTTAATCTTGGATTATAATGAACAGGTAAATATAACCTTTATTTTTCCTATATTTAATATTTGAACTTTTGTTTTTTAAGAGAGAGATTCATGTAATGCATACGGTTTGAAGATCATCATGGACTAATTCCTCAGCACAAAAAAAAAAAAATTCAGCTAATTTATTAAAATTAGGTAATATCCATTTATCTATAGTTTTCCTCTTTTTAAGAAAAAATTTTGTCAAACTCAAAAGTGAATATTTAAACTGAATCTGTGACATAATTTGTTGAAAAAAGAGCCTTGGTAAAGCTTTTTGCCATTATGACTAAAATTGAAAGAAACTATAAAACATCAAATCTAATGAAAAGCATATATCGCTAGCCCAATAAAGGTGATCAACATATGTGTTAACGATAATGTTATTTTAATATACAATTGATTTGTAAACCACTTCTTCATGTTGTACTACTTACTATAACATACAATTTTCTGTTCTGTTATTCATAAATAGTAAATTTACCATATTCATAAATTAACAAAGAATTGTAAAAAAAAAAAGTTATTAAATATTTCCTTTTCCCTATAAGGCTTGTCTTTATGTTTCCTCACTGTTTTATTTTCTGTGCTAGATCATGTGAATTACCAAAAATCGATTTATTCCGACTGCAACCCTGCTTTACGGCGTCGTAATCGCTCCTTGAGTCCGACGTGATGACGTAGTACGGAAACTTGAAACGAATCTTTCTAGAATTCTGTAGCTGCATCTGGCTAGTAGTTGCTGTGGAGCTCCTCCCGTTTGTTCTGGGAAGAGAAAATCATTTATTTTCTAGATTACACACAGCCTCGTATTCCTAAGTAGTGCTGCGCGTTTGGGTGTTTTGCTGCCCATTGCATTTCCACGTTAGACTTGTTTAACGCTTCCTTTTATCCGACTTAAAGGAGGCTAACTTGGTTAGCTTCGAGTTGTTTCTGGCAGGATGTCCAGGATAGACTACAGCGTGTGGGACCACATTGAGGTCTCAGATGATGAAGATGATACCCACCCAAACATTGACACACCGAGCCTCTTCAGATGGAGACACGAGGTGCGATTTAAGACGATTTAAAGATTACAAAGGATAAATCTCTTTGATAAATGTCTTGATCAAAACATTGAATCAGTTTATGTATATCAACCAGGTGTTAAGACTCAGCTTATAAATGATTGTTTGCAAACCAGAAAACGGGGATCTATGCAGGATAAAGATCCATCAGATGTTAAAACTGCTTCTTTTCAGGCTCGTGTGAACAGGATGGAGGAGTTTCAGAAGAAAGGAGAAGATATCAACAAGAGTCTGAACGACTGTCGGCGCAGGCTGGCAGAGACACAGAAGAAACTCCAGCAGCTGAGCGTTGCCTCATCAGATGATGCCAAAGCAGAGCTGAGCAAAGTCCAGGCTGAGGAAAAGAAATTAAAGAAAGAGGAAAGAGACTGGTCGAAGAAGATGGAGGAGCATCGGAGGGAGGAGAAGAAGATGCCCTGGAACGTTGACACGCTCAGCAAAGAGGGTTTTAGCAAGGTGACCCCCATCACTCATGCTGTGGTTCCCACCAAACAGTCTAAACAATATGCCATTTCATTTGGTAGAGCAATCTTTAGTTTTAGTTGACAAGTTCTTTAAGTGTTTGCAGTTATTACTTTAACTTTATTGAAGTGGGAATGACATTCACTTATTTGTGCTTTATAATAACTGAAGGCTCTAATCATTGTGCCAGAGGTGGAGGTATTTCACATATCCTGGTCAAGCAAAGACTAAATAAGTTGGTGGAAAGCTGGGTTTGAAATAGTGAAAAGTTCAAAGCATTAAAGGAGCTTAATGACCTGTTCTGGAATAACAATTGTTCGCACCACCCCACTATTGTAATAAATAGAACAAAAAATACACCCTTCTTTCACTTGGCTTATAGGATCTACCTTTTTGCTTCTCCTGACTTATTCTGTAAAAATTCAAAAAATATCCACTGGACTTGGTTTTCAAGATTTGAAGACGTTTCGCCACCTCTCCAGGAAGCTTTCTCAATTCAAATGTCTGGATCCGCAGTGAGTTTGAGTCTTATATAGACAATGCCTTGTATCGCTTGGAAACATGCAATAGAAACCGATGAATGGGTCGTTAGTTCCATCGTTAGCCTGTAATATCTGAAACTGTCTATGATTCTAGGGGTCGGTCGTTAAAGGGGGGATTGTCATTAAGGGGGGGATTGTCTCCTGTAATAGCTGAAACCTGTCTATGATTGTTAAGGGTAGGTCGTTAAGGAGGTATTGTTCACCGGCTGGAGCGGGTAAGTCCCTCGTTCCTCTGTGATGGGGTGGGGGGTTTGGTGATATCTGGAAGGGATCATGTCTATGATTGAATTGTATGTTTTTGGAAGCTGGAATCTTAGTCCACCACCTCTGTTTAAAGTTGTTTTTTCTCTCTTAACATAGATGGCTTCCTTCACGCCCCTCTCAAACCACCTATTTTCTTTATCCAGAATATGGACATTCTGGTCCTCAAGAATGTCCTTTGTCCACAAGGTGTAGGTGTACTGCGGAGTCTTGTCCAGAGGTGGCCGCTCTTCTGTGTTGGGCCATGCGTCTGTGGAGAGGTTGTTTGGTTTCTCCAATATAAAGATCAGAGCATTCCTCACTGCACTGAGCAGCATATACCACTCCGCTCATATTTGGTCTGGGGGTTTTATCTTTCGGATGCACTAGCCTCTGTTTAAGGGTTTGGTTTGGCTTGAAATGTACTGGGATCTTGTGTTTGGAGAAAATCCTCTTGAGCTTTTCAGACACTCCAGCAACATAAGGGATTGTGATGTTTTTGCGTTTAATTTTCCCATCGCATCCCATTCTCCTGACTTAATTTTAAACCCGTCATTGCTGGAAACGAAACAGCTAACTCCAAGTCAACTTCCCTCAGTAGCAACTTTCACTCTGAACAGTGTTCTTAAGGCTTGAACACCAACTTTTTAATCTCTGATCCGATTTTAGCGTATAGAGAGGCTCCAACTATGCAGGGTATATATTTTTTTCACTTCTGTCTGTGCTACACACAAATTAAAATAACTTTCCACATTTGACTTGGACAAAATATAAAAATATATTGAACATAGAAAAACACTGCCGCAGCTATAAAGCAAAGTCTCACTCAATGCAAGCATCTTAAACTACATATAAAGAAAGAGAAATTGCAAAATTATTGGCTTTGGAACAGTTTATATGCTGGCTGAGGAAGTGAGAGGTGATTCTCAAACAGAAATAGAAGATTTGTTGAGGTTTTGTATTTTTTTTTTTTATTAATGGAGTGAGATACGCAGCACTTATCTGTGTCAGTGTCTGCTCCTCATTACTTTCATCTTAGTGTGTCTCAAAGAGGATCACTTTTCTTTTGCCATATCTGTTTTCTGTCCTCCTAAAGTTTTCTTTTTCTAGGGGAGAGATAATTGTATCTCTCTTCCTGTCAGGCCCACAAAATTCCTGCTGAATTGCTGCTTAGCCTGACTGAAATAGACCTGGGATCTAGCTCAGTCGGAGCTACGCAGAATCGCGTTGGGTGTGATCCTCCTTATCGATTTTCAATGAGCTAAACTCCGCAGCCTCGTCCAACACGATTTTCTGTCCGAATCAGACGCAGAATCAGATTTGGTGTGTTCACGCCTTTGGTGTGAACGTTGGTATGATGTGTTCACTGTTAACTTTTAGGCTATGTGTACAATCTTAAACCACTGACATATTTCAAGTTAAAAGGGTAATACTTTTGAGATTAAATATGTTGCATAAAAAGTACTCTAAATTTGCAATTGTGGATCAAATATCTTCCATAATGCACCTAGTGAGAGCTTCAACTTCTGAAATGGAACCAATGTATTGCTTTGTCCTTGACAGAGCATCGTCAATGTCAAACCTGAGGCAGGGGAAGAGACTGAAGAGGAGAAGGAGCAAAAACATAAAACCTTTGTGGAGAAGTACGAGAAGCAGATCAAACATTTCGGTAAAGCCCACCAACAAACAAACCTTAATGTGTGTGTTTATAATTAACTCTTTATTTAAAACTGGAGATATTTATTTCTGTACTGTTTTTACTTGAGGCATGTTGCGGCGCTGGGATGACAGCCAGAAATACCTCTCTGACAACCCGCATCTTGTATGTGAAGAAACTGCTAATTACCTTGTCATCATGTGCATTGACCTTGAAGTGGAAGAGGTAAACAGTTTATTTTTTGCCCCATCTGCATTGGTTTTACAGGATTGTGTTAAATTCTTTAGCTTGATTAAAATTTAAATTTTAAATGATGTAAGTTATTTGGAATGTTACTTTGATCTTCTTCCATTTTGCTTCCAGCTGTTCCCTTTGTCCTCTGATGAAAGCATCTGTAATATTCCAAATGTACTTTCTTTGTTTTGCAGAAACACGCATTGATGGAGCAAGTGGCTCATCAGACTATAGTGATGCAGTTCATACTTGAGTTGGCAAAAAGCCTGAAAGTGGACCCCCGTGGCTGCTTCCGCCAGTTCTTTGCTAAGATTAAGGTAGGAAGATGGATTGTTTAACCAAAACTACTACTTTAATTGATCGGTTAAAGCAGCACTTTCAATGCTAATCTTTATATATTTTTTTCTTTTTTACCCAAGAATTACAAACTTACACAACTTTGTCCCCGTATTAACATCTTTTAGGTTGTGTTTTTCATTAAAAGAGCCAGAGTGATTAGTCAGGTTCTAGAGTAGTCTTCAGGAATATTTCTTAACACTCTGTAAAGGTTTCAGTTTTGAAGTCGCTTAG